CAATGTCTATTATAGATACTATTAGAAAGTTTTGCAACATTCATTTACTGTGAACAAATTGATAGAAAAGGATCTACTAACTGAAGAATAGAATAGTTGTAAAATACTAATGAGAGAATCACTCGAACTAAAGCCTTCCAGTTAAGTTCATATTGGCAAGACTAGAAAACTCTTAATAGATTCGTCTTCATCAGCTTTTAGACAACTTTAGATGCGTATTCAAAACTTCAAAAACCATGCTTATAGATTGGTCAAATAACATATAGAATATCCTAAAAGTTGCACACTTAAATGGTGTTCTTTGGTTGATATATCACATTGCTCAAAAATAATTGCTTGTTCCAAGCATCATACAAAAATTCAGTTCACTTGTAAATTTAGTAACTCAAGAAAAGAGAATTCTTTTTGGCTGAAACTTGCCAAATATTCTATAGATCATTATGCCTATGTATGAGCCAAACCAAATCAAAAAAAGAAACTCAGTAAAACAATCATAACTCAGGATCAAAGACCTTGGGCAACGGGTACTGCTAGACTTTTCCTAGCTTCACCAAGGTGTCCTTGTACAATCAAAATAATTTCAAGCAGTAGATATTGGTTCAGATTGTTTCTTCGTAAATTGAATTGAAGTGTAATCAATAAAAGCACGATCGATTCGAATATATATGTTTTCAACACTACTGCCAAAATTGTAGTTGGCGTTAATGTTGCTTTGTCAAATGTCTTTTTTTACTTGTTACTATATTATCCGCATGTCTTTGATAGATAGCTTTATAGACGGTATACAAATTATGCAGAAGTACTTGAAAATGAAGAGAAAAAGTTTTGAACTGACAAGTATTATAATCGGGGATTATTTTTTGTCTCTATTTTTTTTTCTTTATTCTATCAGGAACAGTGGTAATAAACCTTGTGACGATGAAAGGAAGCAGAACCACGAGTGATGACGAATAGAACGAGTAAACAAAGCTCTTACACACGCACTTTAGCTCAAGCGAACTTCTTTCCATTGCTGCTCTGTGATGTAGTTATAGATTTTTTTAAAACTATTTCTGTTCCTTTTTTTACTTCTGCAAATTTAAGATCTTCTTTTCAAGTCATACTTGTAAATCTGTTGGTTTGTTTTTTACAACATAAAAGTTTTGAATACATCTCAATCAATTCTTTTCTATCTGCATAGACGTAGAAGTAAAACGATATAATTGTTTGCTTTTATTTCGTTGTATGTTAGATTGATGGAATATTTTTCGTTACTACGTGTGAGGGTGTGGGTGTGTATGGGTGTTCCATCTTCGGCAACACTGACACCCACACCCCCACACCCCACCCTCTTTATGGCCCACCCGTCAGATGCAATTTTATAGTATAAACAAAATAATTAAAGCAAGAATAACAAGATTCAGTTTGATTAGTTCCCATATCTTCTAGACTAAAACGCTGTTCCATAGTTGATGAAAGAAGATCAAAATCATAACAACGACAGGAATAATAAGAATTACTTTTTCTTAAATATAGAATAAAAAATTTCATAGAAATAAAATCTTACTTTTTAATTGAATCATTGATTAAAGTTGAAATGACTTGTTCGCATTCATGAATTTGTTGTGCATATAGTTGTTTTTCTTCTTCATTCTTTAGTAAAAAAAAAGTTTGTTTTTTTGTTGAATATATTCCAAACAAAACATAAACTGTTAGCGCAATCTTTGTATGATTCAAATGTTAAACACAATTGATCTGCATATATTGTAAATCCAATGGCTGTGCAACATATGCTTCAGTTTAGAAGTTAAAGCGTATTGATATGTCCACGATGAAATATGTTTTTTTATACTATGTTATAGAGATGTGAAGGTTAGGATTCGAAAAATTCTCTCAGTTATGGTGCAGTGTGCGAGCAAAGTTTATCCTACACATTTCTACTACGCTATAGTGAGTTTGGAAAGAGAACTAAGATGGGTATCTTAAATTGAATCTTCTTTCATAATAAATTCACGAAAGAATTTAGTTCTGTGGCTATATCTATCACATCTCTAGGAGATTTCAAATTTCTACTCTCATACTTCAAAACTTCTTCCAGATTGTATTTCACAAAAACCTTATTCAACTTACTCAGCTTATTCTATATTTATATCGTTCAAGTTGTGTTTTCTTTTACTCTGGAAATCGGTGTAGCATGCAAAATGGTATAGATAATAAATTTAAATAGATTTTCTTTTGTTAATACGGTGAAAACATTTTAATATGAATAAGAGAATAATCGATACCGTTTTAATCATTTTATTTTTGAGACGTTTCGTTATGAACTCATAACATCATCAGCCAAAAAGAAATGAAATGAAATTACAAGACAATCAAAAGAATATATAGATAGATAGTACAAAGAAGGAGAGCAAAAGAAAGGAACAAAGACACTTATTAAAAGAAAATGTTTTCTTTTAATAAAGTAAGGGTGTGGGGGTGTGGGGTGTGGGTGGTATGGATGCCATTGAAGAGAAGACACAAAATCACACCCAAACCTCATAAGGTTGGGTATCTTCTAAGTAGAATTTATTTTATTCAGGCAGAACAAGAGAAGATTAATTTAAAAGCTTCGATAATTTTATTTTAGAAGAAAAAAAATGAAAAAATGATTTGGTTTACTTGTTTAGAAAGTACTGCTTTCAATCGCGAAATTTGATGGTTCACAAACCGTCTCATGCGTGGTTTTTTCATTTTTTTGTTTGCGTTTTTGTCGTCTTAACGTACGAAGTTTTCGGCGTAATTCAAATGATCTTAATCTATGATTGATCATACCAGACGAATTCTCTTTATGCATATTTTTTTTTCGATAATATTGTTGGAAGTTTGAACGATTGATTGTCTGATCGTCTCCAACAGCAACCAATGAGATGAATAAAAGGTTTACTGATTAATTTTAAGACGAGAAAAGTCAAAGCAAATAATTCGATGACAAGAGTACAGAAAAGTAAAGTATGAAAGGCAAGTTCGGCAATACGAACGACAGGTTTTTGGTTATTCTGAAGAAAAAATGACTGTTCACTGAATGTTATTGTTAATATTGTACGTGGAACCATATATCGAATATAGGTACCATCTTGTTCATAGATCATCTCATCTGAAAGTGAATTTTCAGCAAATATTGCTGCCCACCGACCATCATATTGAGATAGGTCACCGACATGCAAAGGTTTTGTTTGATTGACAACTTTAATAAACACAACGGACAATGTAGCGGCACGTGCTAGTGTCTGATTCGGTGTGAAAAAGAATTGGCACATGTCCAAACCATGCAGTTTATTGAAACCTTTTATAAGACCAGGACCATGAAGACACAAACGAAATCCACCAACAAAATAAGGTCCAGTGATGTTTAACTGTACATTTATTCGATGTGCCGGCAAAGCGACACTTACTGATCGGGTTATATTATCGGGTTGGAGTATACATGTGGTCATTGGTAGACGCAAGTAATTGACACCTGGTCGATTTTGTTGAAAACTAATATTCGAACAATAAGCTCGTGTATTAACTAAATTTAATGTCATAGTAAATGGTTGCTCATCTAACATATCAAAAATAGGCCATCGAGTGCCATCCGGATTTGACAATGGTAATTGAAGTGCATTGTCAAATAGAGCATTATATGAGGCATCATCGCACGAACCACGAGCATAACTGGATGTTTCCATTGGATAAAGTTTTATATAATTGGTGGCAAACCATAAGGCAAAACAAAACAGTACAATGGTAGCAAATGAAAGTAATCCACCAATCCATTGTTCATCTTCAGTAATAATATTTATTCCCTTAAAGAATTGTTTAGCAGTATTACGATGATGGTTGACTTTTTCACATCGATACTTTTTAATAAGAATCATGATAAGCCAAACGATAAAACATAATCCAATGATAAGTAGAGTCCAAAACATAGGCGTAGTGATGAGACAACTAGTTGATTTACCAATGTAGAATATATTCTGTATGAGAAGATCATCATAATTATTCATATCAGATGTATCTGGATAAGCAAATGTTTGACTGTAGGAAGGATAAGAATAAAGTGTAACACTATCATCAACGGAGGCCATCGGACAGAAGGAATCAAGTAAACAAGGAATGCAGCTTGCACATGGTTGGTTACCTGGATTCTTCGTTTGTGGTGGACATACAGTGCATGGTCCAAAGCTCGACTCATTCTTGAACGTACCAGCAAGACAAGGTAATTTAGTAAATATCAAAATCAAAGTTTTATCGTTCTCATACCAGGCGGAGTAGAATCCGGCTGGTCTTGACGGTACAAGAAGTACGCGTAGCTGGTCGGTTAACAAAAGCAAATTACCTGACCAGGAGACGATATACAAAAATAGAGGTAGTGGTACCATTCTAAGTGTTTGTTGATGGTTGGGAAATACAAACAGTGGTTTGTTGAAATCTGTATCAACATCAAATACATACACTTCTGATCGACACCAAGATTGATCGGGAACATCAAGAGCAGAAATGGCTACTGTTCTATCATTTATCCATGCGACTGAGCGACCATAACCAATATTGAGTTGCGACGCAATTATTACGCGTGTCAGGTTAAGCCTGTCCCTTACTGTAGCATTTATATTGACGCTAAGGAGCAAAACTCTATCATGTATCGGTACACCCACAATAGCCATTTGACGTACGGTATTCACCGCTATCGACATATCGTTAGGCCGGTTGTAGGTGTTAGCAACAGCTAAGTTTTGCGGATAATAATCTGTAAGATCTACAGCACCGATTATTTCTAATGGATGAAGTGTAATGAGAAGAGCCTTATATTCGGCCATATTAGTACTGTATTGCGAAACATAGAATCCAGCAACAATAGCCCATATATCTGTAACATCTAGTGCGTGTGGAAAAAAGGATCCTATAGGCAAAAATGTGGTCATATTAATCAACTCGACAATCGAATTATTGACAATATTAAATGAAAGTACAAATGAATCGGCTAATACGTATGCATATTTTTGAGAAGGTGCAACTTTGAGTAACATGAATTGTTGGTGGGTGCCCGACCATAGGCGAGTTCGATCTATTCCATATCCTTCAGTCATATAGGAATACTCATCTAAGTTGAACACAGTTATATGAAAAACGCCTCCTTAGAAAAAGAGTGACTCACCACAGATTGATTTATTTATATGAATTATGCTAAGGAATACGTCGGTTGTTTGCATACTTTCTGTCACTTGTACAAATGTAAAAAATTGATCTGAATAGGGATAATCAGGATCAAAAATGACTGCCAAACTATAAACATATTCGTCTGGATCCGGATATCGAATATCACAATACTTTTCATTTGAATATGGAGCTGGCATAATATAATAGTATCCATGACTATTGACTGCAGTGATAGCAAATTGGTTATTACCAGATAGGCGTACACCATGAGCACCATCGTCATCAAGTTCATAGACATATTGGCAAAGAATAGATTTGAATAAGACTAATATTATTCCAAACATAACAAGTACGCGCTGCATTTATGGAATCAATCTTAATAATAAACATACAATTCAATATTTGAATAAAAAACAATATTTAGAATTCTATTTCAATCTTCATTCAGATGACAAAGTCAAGTTTTCCTTTACTTCTGATATTAGTTTATTGATATCACAATATTTCATATACCATAATGTTACTTTTTTTCTTCTTTCTTTATATCCAAGTAGTGCACCTACATAGCAATTAAATTGTATTTAAGTATATAATAACGTATGATTATTCTTCCATCGTATGGCCTATTCAATGACGAACATAGTTTCACTCTTGATACTGTTGCGATTCGATATGTTCGTGACGTATCTTCTCATTTGCGAACATGACTATATTTCGGATTTCAAAACTGTTTAATACAATTTTAAAATATTGACATTATTTGATGAAATATAGTTGAATAAAGAAATTATGAGACAAACAAGTTCATCGATCATTTTATTTTTCTCAAAAGTAATACAGTGAAGCTTTCGACACCTTTCATAGGGTCATTTTCAACACTAAAATTTAAGGGGACTCCCTCCGAAAGTCGATTTTTCTTCAAAAACTCAATTTTTGAAAAAACGCATATTCTAGTAGCCCTGAGGGTCCTCTTTCAGAATATGTGTAAATTATATATAGGCATACAAGGACCAAAGTATCTTCACTAGGATAGCCATATAAGGGCCCGAATATCCTTCTAGGATAGATATATAAGAACCCAAGTGCCCTTCCTAGGATACTGATATAAGTACCCAAGTACCTCCGCTAGGATAGCCGTATGAGGGCCCAAGTACCCCTTCCAGGATACTCATATAAGGACTCAAGTACATCCACTAGGATAGTTATATGAGGACCTAAGTACCTCTGCTAGGGCACCAGATGAGGACCTAAGAACTGGGGATGGTCGTTTCTTACCCACGACACAAGCACTTTAACTTTAGCTTTTTTTTATAGTTAAAGTGTTTTACTTTAATTAAAGTTTAAAGTCAAACACTTTAAACTTTAATACTTTTTTTCAAGTGTTTTTAAAGTTAAAGTGCCACTCCTAGTCGCAATCAGATCCACATAGTAGATATTTAGAGGCAATTTTGCGGAATTCCATCATATTGGATGTAATATTGTTCTCTATCTAGAATTGATAAGGGCAATTCGACTGTTTTGAAACTGTATAATAATACTGATTACATACGTAACGAATGATCTGGTGTATAATGCAAGAAACTTCATTCGGAACAACTTTTTGATCGATAAGTAGACACTCAAGATAGTTTATTAAAAACCAATATGCTATGCTACACACCCGAACAAGCACATCACTATAAAATTATGAAACTGTAGGTTCTTTTTCTTTTAATTTGTGGGTAACAAGCTGAATTACAAGATTATTTGATAAATAATATTAATTAAATAAAAAAAGTTTCTGCAGATGCTATAGATATCAATGATTAAATAGAGTCACATATTCAAATCAAGGAAAACGGTCTACATTATGGTACTGATTCCCGAATTTTGTAAAAACTGTGTATGGTGGTATCAGAAAAAGTTCTCCTTTGACTTGTCAGAAATATATTTTCCAGACCGTGCTTTTAAGATTAAAATGTCGATAGTTTTTGAAACGATATTTTGATGATTATAAGCGTATGATTAATAGAAGAGATATGGTTTTCATCGATAAGCAATATTATGTTAGAGCCTAGTTCAAGTTAGCAAATATAGAACAGCTTAGAGGAAGTCATTATAGATTTATTGCATCGAAATAATTGTTTTTTCAATAATATCTCAAAACCAAAACCAAAACCAAAAAAAAAAACAAAACTTGATCGAGACCAATACTATCGATACCAAAACCATATCAAAACCAATACCAAGACTATCGAAACTATATCAAAACCAATACCAAAACCATCAAAGCTATATCAAAACCAATACCAAGACCGTCAAAACTATATCAAAACCAATACTTTGAAATCAAAACTATATCGAAACCAATACTCCAAAACCAAGAGTTTTGGCTTTGGTGCATGCCTAGTGGAAAATTTACGATCATATAACAAATAATTTTCGAGATGGATTGTTTACTAGTGTTACTCAAGTATTATTACGTGATGAACATCCATTTGAACATGAATTTTTTCTTCGAACTTCGAAATCATTTCCATTTATGAAACAATTAGCAATAATGAATCGAAAAGCACAACAAATAAAATCAAATAATGATAATAAAATATTATCAATTATTGAATATCCCAATCTTACTCGACTGGATCTTTCTTATACTCATGATGATTATGTTCAACTATTTTTATTTAATATGAAAATGTCTTTACCAAATAATCTTCATCTTCGTGTTGATTATGAATCACTCGAAAGAGTGACATACTGTTTTACAAGATATATGACAGGAAATAGTTCTACAAAACTTGCTGCTCTATATTTTGATCCAGTGGATCAAATCGATGAATATCATATCAAAAACTATTTTCCTTATGCATGTATTCATCGTACTTTTGGTTTTATATTATCTAAATAAAATAGATCTATTTATATGGAATGAAATGATTGAAAACGACAAAAGAGAATCAATAATAGAGATAACAATTTTAAAGAGAAATCAAACGATATGTAGTTTGGTTCCATTCAAAATTGATTGTACAACTGGTGAAATGAGCTTGTATACAATAGATCTTCACAATTACTTAACTATTTCAACTTTAGATGTTTCATCAATATGTAGCTTAACTATAATAGTATTTTTTCAGATCAATTCTTTGTATCTGTCAATTAAAAGTGTTCACACAAGAAGAACAGAAAAGGATGACATCTTCGAGGATTTTTGTTTCTAATGTTCTATACATAAAATGCTTTGCCTGATTTTGGTCGGCAATTGCTATTTATTTTTCTCATTAGTCAAAATAAATAGCATTTATAGTACAGAATATATGCAAACTTATAAAAGATTTTTATTGAATGAATTTCTTCAATTCATGTTGTATTCAGAACGTGATCTATTGAACTTTGACAAAAGATGCTCGATTTTATTTGAAAAATTTCTATAGGAATTTTTCAAATAATTGACATCAGCTTTTACTATAGTAAAAACATTACATTTATAGGGTGTTAAAAAATCTTTACGTCCCCTAGGTTCGACCTTAAGGTAAAATGATTTCACTAAGTATTTGATACCAAATTGAAGCCCATAAAAAACTGCATTTATTGGTACTAAATAGTAATAGTTATGAAGACGTTTTAATGTCGAACTTGTGAGATTTTCAGAAATTTGATATCTTTTTTGGTGTAGAAAAGTAAGGTGCCAGTAATTCAAACACGACATAAAACATTTTTCTTAGATATTTTATGTCGTATTTGAATTACTGGTATCTTACTTTTCTACACCAAAAAAGATATCAAATTTCTGAAAATCTCACAAGTTCGACATTAAAACGTCTTCATAACTATTACTATTTAGTACCAATAAATGCAGTTTTTTATGGGCTTCAATTTGGTATCAAATACTTAGTGAAATCATTTTACCTTAAGGTCGAACCTAGGGAACGTAAAGGTTTTTTAACACCCTGTAGTTCATAGGTAAAAGAAGATAAAGATAAGAATTTTTCTTTTATGACATTTTAATACAAATCAGAACAAAATTGTAATTTATTTGTTAAATATATTTAAGATAATATTAATTCAGGATAGTTCACATATGTCAAATAATTATCGAAGTGGAAAAGAGAAAAAACTAAGATCTTCTTTGTCATCTTCAATACAAAACAATAGAGATCATGTTGATTTTGATTAAAATCAAAATCAAATTCATTATATATTACATATAATAAACCATTGGATGAAAAATAATTTATATAATATGTAAGTATTAATAAATTTTTAAGCACAGAAATATCTTTTTAAATCCATATTGTAGTATCTAAAGAATATTTTGCATGATATCAGAAATAAATTTCATGTAGGAAATCTCGAACATGTCTATTATTAATTAAATCATCTTTACATATAAGTAAATATGTATTTCATATGGATAATAAAACTACTAATGGATTAAAATGACCATGATAAATTATAAACAAAGAGGGTGTGGGTGTGAGGAAGCCTTATTGATGGCAGCATCCACACCCACAACGTCAACTGATGTTGAAGCAACAGAAAAATATACAATAGATTCAACACAAACAGCATTAACAAATGAAACTATATTTCAAGTATTATCAATGACTGATTTAACTGAATGACATAGACTTTTTAACACTTGGTTTTAATTTTCAAAGGATGATACACGTGCAGCTAATAATTCAATCTTCTAAGTAAGTAAAAAAAAATTTAAGTTCTTTGTAGAATCGATTTTCTTTTTCGAAGTATAAAAAAAAAAGTTAATCAATGTTTCTTGTACTTTAGTACTGATGTTGTTATATTTGCTATTGGCTTTAGCATGTCAATTATTCTCGACCATCTGGTGGTTAAATCTTTCAATACATACAAAAAAACCACATATATTGATGTTAAATCTATTGCAAGTGAACTTCGTAGTCGATTCATTGATCATTATGTTTTACTGGTGCTGCACGCTCTGTCAGAATGTGACAGCACCTCGTATATTCGAAATATAACGAAGAAAAATTTTTTTCAATGTTATTTTGATAATCCAATGAATTATTCAGCGATTATGAAATTAAGTTCCAACCCTCCACCTCAAGATGCTATTGATTCAGCTGAAGAACTTCTTATTAATCGTTACTCATTCGATTATACAGTAAAGTCTCTTGACGAACTTCATGCAAAGAGTAAATTTTGATTATCTCTTGATCGTTTTTCTATTCTAAAGGCTTCTTCTAACGACATACTTTATTTACTTTACTGAAGCAATTAGTTTTTTAGTTAGCATGAAAACTTTGAAGTCTTTGGGCTTTCTATTTGTTGCCAAATGAATTAAATATAACTTTCTTATAGTTTTAAACTAAACGAAATTGTGGGGATGTGAACCTCAAGTTTTTTTTTTCAAATAACTTTAGTGGCTTCAATATGGGTAAAGGACCGCAATCGAAAAAGTATCTCAGGAAGTTTGCCATCTTCTACGATGGCATTCCATGAACATTGTTTAAGATCTTCTAGACGAGTTAAAATATGGTTCGACGCTTTGGAACCATTTCCTATAACACCAGCACTATTTCGTAATGGCTATGATCATTCGAGTACTGCCAATAAATTTAAAATTAAATGGTCAGCATTAAATGATCATCCAAATGACTATCGACTTCAAACTTGTGGTGAATGTAAAGGTGGTTGTACTGGTTGCAAGTGTTATAAAAATAATTTATCTTGTACAGTTTTTTGCAAATGTCATCAAGATGTTTGTGGTAATAGAGTAAATGTTCTGGTTCTTCCAATAATTTTATTACTACTTTTCTTTTTTATTAAATTTTTCTTTATTTAGATTTCTTACAATTCATCAATTCAAAATAATTCATTTGATGTAACATCAATACAATCTCAATCTATCTACGTAAACGATACAGTTGGTGTCCAGCTCTCTTTTTTTTCAAGGTTGTTAAAAATTTTTTCATGTTACATTATCTAGAGTATTACTGAATATCATTCTGAGATGACATTAAATAACTCGTACGTCGATCCAATCACTATATATTCTGATAGTAATGTATTGAACCCATCGCTACATTCTCAATCAACGAATTTTGCACCGTATCATACATTTTACTTAAAGAAGGATCTTCAAATTACGACGCCGAAACGTCGTACACTATTATCAGTATTTATGTTACTCGTTTTAGTATATTACATTACATTGTATGCATTTATTTTTTTATAGGAATCTTCTGAAGGCGAACGTGTATTTCAATCACCATATGCGTGTTCCACTCCGAAGCTCAATGGAATGAGAAATAATCTTACATCATTGAATTTTGTGAGTATTTCTTATATCTTCACATAAATGATCTGAACCTTTTTTTCTAGGAAACTCGATCACTGACAATATCATTAACATCTCGTCGCACTCCTCATTTTCGAAAATACTTTCGCACAACGAAAACTGCAAGTCAACCTGATCTTAATGAAATTTTTCTTTTTTTTTTCAATGTGTGTCGTTTGTTGTTCTGTTACTTTGTTCTATGGTCTTATTTGTCTTAAATTTAATTGTGAAAGCAATTTTTTTCATTCATATAAATAATTTATTCTTTTTTTTTCTAACTTCTGTATGAGTCTCTGTATAGTTTTGAAAGATATTATTTTTCTTCAAAGTACCTTATCTTTTTTTGTCAATCTCTTCATTTATTTAATTGTCCTCTACGCTTATTGAAATTCATGACTACTTTTAAACTTTTGTATTAAATAAATTATTTCAATAGCAAAACATTTCTATTATCTTGAAAAGTGATTCATACATACTCTAAATTTTCAAAATAAACACATTATTATGAAGAGAAAACATGCATTTCATCTTAGAAATACATTTATATATCAAAGAGGAATTTTTCGAAATATAAATATTCTTTTTAGGTGCGTTCAAATTTATCTAAATGATGAGAAATATTTCTTAGGGGAATGATGCGATATGACTCAACGTTGAGATGTGTTCAACCAATCACGTGAAGGCAATACACCATCTGGAATATCTTTTTAAAGCTACTTTTTTATAGAAAAAAAAAATGGTTTGACAGGGAATATTTTTCTCTATCTGTCTATGTCCAATTTATGTCCAGCCTTTCCCAAAACCGATAACATCAATCACTTTGCGTCGATATTGTTTCTCTTATTTCAATATGCTCTTTGCCATGTGGATCCGTACTAATAATTAAATACATAATTCAAATAAAAAAATTCCGATCACCGTACGACAGCCTGTCCACAGGTAACGCACTCACCTATTTTTGACCTTCCAATCTCCATAACTCAAGAGTCATATGTAGTAAAGACCTGAAACTTATAGTGCTAAGAGATAGTTGGAAGATCTATCTCTGCTAAAAGTTTGACTTCATTTGATTTTACTATCATGGTTTTAGAGGTTCAGGAAACCGTGGTAACGCACTCATTTAAAAGGCCCCTTGTCATTACCCCCATGCGAAAGAATATTATATTGCTACGAATTTTTGTGTGTTAAAAAAAATATTGTTACATGAATTTGTAGGTAAGACGATGGGCTTGATAATCATGGCATCTGCTTTTTGAAAGCTTATTTCTATAAAGAGTTATTACTAAAGGATTTCGGTAACGCACTCAGCAATTGGTAACGCACTCAGTAGGATTTTTTAAGAATTTTTTAGATTCAATGTTTATGCACCAAAGCTTTGTTTAAACGATTTATAAACAACTCAGAATGAATGTTATAATGAAATTCATTTATTTCTTATAAAAAAGTACACACTTTTTCTTATAATAATATGATACAAAAAAACGCTTTTTTGTCATAATAATATAACGAGTGGGCCAGAAGTGCTGACTCGATTTGTATAATCAATTTTTCTTTAGTAAAAGGATGGTCGGAAATTTGTCTCTATGAAGAAAAGATGCAGTAAAAGGCGCTCTACAAAATGACTATTGATTGACCTCGCTAGCTCATCTACTAAGGAAGTTATAGGCTTAGAAATATACTTCACAAAAAAGAAAAATTAACCGTGAGCCCGATGTACATAGTTATGATTCCAGTAAAAGTCCCATAACTTCATCAAAACGAAAGGTTTTTCGATCGGGTTTGTTTTGTTTTGATCAGAAGTGATTACTCTCTTAACCTACCTACAAGATCAAAACTTTGATCACAGTTTTCATTTCTTGCTGGGTACACCGTCGGAAACGGGCTTGTCGATTTTTGACGTATTTTTGAAACTTGGTTTTCACGCACTCCATCGGCGCTAAAAAAGTATCTTCTAAAGCCCGGGAGAAAGAGCACATTTGAAAGTACCAAACACAAGCAGAGTTCTCACGTTTGCTATGCTTTTTTATGGAATTAATAGGAGAGTAAAAAGTTTAAGTCGAAAAAAATACCAAATTTAAAAAGTTTTCGTTTTTTTCGCGTGCGTATAATTTGCTTAGTTTCCTTGATTGAAGTTCTGAAATTAAGGTTTAGGTATAATTTTGTAGAGAATTTCACGGACCTTCTATTGATAAAAGAATTTGTTGTAGAGGACCTAAGGAACAGAAGTTAAAGTATAAATACCGAAACCGAGTTCACGGTTAATTTTTCTTTTTTGTGAAGTATATTTCTAAGCCTATAACTTTCTTATTAGATGAGCTAGTGGGGCTAATCAATAGTCGTTTTATAGAGTGTCTTTTGCTGCATCTTTTCTACATAGAGACCAATTTTCAACCACGCGTTTTACTAAAGAAAAATTTATTATACAAATCGAGTCAGCACTTCTGGCCCACGCTTTATAGAGAAATTATTGATTCAAGCTAATAGATTTGTAATTAAGAAAATCACGACAATTTTCTTAAGATGTTGTGAATTTAATTAACTAGGTTTAGCTAGTGTATAGACAAAGATAAGTATATTGACTAGACACAAACACTTATACCGTTGATTTGCACCAAAAGCGAGGTGTATATAGGGAGATGAACAAGACGTGGGACGTGGATATGGTCGAAAGTTAGAAAAAATAACTCATGAGTAAGAGAGAGGAGAGATAAAAATATCTCGTCAAGAAAGAAAAAGAAAAATAGCGATCGTATATCGTAACAGTCAGAACAAATACATTATGTGGAAAAACAAAAAAAAAAAAGAATTTGACTAAACCATTCACAGAGAAAACAATATAAGAATGAAGAGGTGCATGTAGTGATGAGTAAATAAAACAAATCTAAACATTTAGTTTCAATTTTATAAATAATCTGAAGGAAAAATATAATCGATACAGTCTAATTAAGGGTTAGACGTACAAAGGTCACATGAGTGCGTTACCATTCATTTTCCTGAAGGATGTGATTTTAAAAAATTCTTAACAGTGCATATTATAGTCCATCAAAAGTTACGTAATAATAGATAGTTCTGTCTAAAAATGTCTCCTGTACAAGGGCAAGAAATATAAAAAATCCTCTAAATGGTAACGCACTCATGCCTCTTTTGGTGAAGTTTTATGAGGTGATCTTTTGAAACTAAGAAAGAGAAGAATATTTTATCAGATAGTCTAGAATAAAGCCCATCTATTAGTGATTCTTTTAATACCAAAGCTCTCTCATATAACGCTTTAGAATGTCTGCTAAACCCTTGTTCTTTGTACCATTAAAACGCACAATAATAAAGTTAATTTATAATCAATGTTTTGAAGCTCTGTTCTTTCACCAAATAGAGTGAATGAAAAAACACGACTCATATCCTTATACAGTTAAGTGTGCTCAACAAACTAATCATCTTTCAATTTGAAAAATCTAAACTTCAACTTTAGCCAGGCTGGGTCGCCGTTAGCTGGACAAGCTGACGACAATACTTGTTCCGTATTCACATTGTGTATGTCTCTTCTTTTTTTTACAAAAGTTAATGAGACAGACTACAATTTTCGATTTTTCATTTATTACTCAAAATATATCTCTCTGATTTAACCACTATTTTCATGTTTTATTTTATTATTAGATCGAAATGCGACATAGTAGATCTTTTTCGTATTCATCCTTACAAACAATCGAGTTCTATCGAATGTACGGCTCAAATTTTCTTTATATTCACTTGTTTTTCTTCGATTTTTTACTTCAAACAGTACAACGACAGTGCAATTCGCCGACATACATCGTTGCCTTTCGTCTTTTTCTGCTTCATTTATCAGGTATACAAAACGCACATGTGAAGTAGAGATGATAATAAGGCACAATATAGACGAAGTAAAAAAAAAAATTCAACAAGTGGTAGCTAGGTAATGACGTTGGCTTTCTGTTGTTTATTCATGCATGTCTTGCATCACATAGTAAAAGGTAAACATGAAATAAAGAATCGTTTGTGAATAACCAACAAGAATAGCGCAAGCTTGTTAATTTGTTAAAGAAGGTGTCCACATATCGGAAATTAATAAAACTCATTTCAAATACAGTATGTATACTTTGATTCATTTTGAAAATT